GAATATTTCCAAATGTTTCTTGATTGGAGTTTGATTTCGCCGTGCTTTTCTACGTTTGTAGTTTTAATGCGTCGGCAAAAGAAACGTTGGGAACTCGCTGCGCATTGGCAAAAAAGGCTCCTGGTGTAGTGGTTGATGGCGTGAGGTGTTGGTATGTATAAGAGCTAGTTGGACTGGTGGAAGAGCGTACGGCTGTGTTGCGCTGATTCATGCGAGCCTTTAAGTCTTTGTATACAGGGCATCCCCTATAATTGGCGGTGTGGTTACCTCCGCAATTACTGCATTTCTTTACAGCCACATCAGCTTTGATAGCCTTGCAAGAAGCGGAAGCGTGAAGGTCGCCACAGGCAACACAAACTGGCGCAAGGTACAGTATGTTCTGGTGTGACCAAATTCTTGACAATTTGTGCACTGTACGGGAACGTTTCGCTTGTGCGGCTCCTCCACTGTTATTCTTCGGTGTAGAAGGTATCGTAGATTGTAGATTGGGTGCACTGCGTTTTTATTCATTGGCTTTGTTTCTGGCTTAAGTTCTACCTTAAATATAGGCTGAGCGATTTTTGCTCTGTTGATAATATTGACAACATTTTTAACAGAAAATCCTGCCTTCTCAAGAGCATGAGCAATATTACCAATGGGTACACTTGATTCTATACCGTTTATTACTACTTGCAGTCCTTTGCTGCTTTTGAGCTGGTACGTATAGAAGTTTTTCTTATCTTCATTAAGGTGTTTTCTTCAGTTAGAATCTGAAGTTTGGTATCTTTAATATTGCCCTTGGTAACTGACGTTACGTGGAACGTATTGTCTCCAATAAGCTGAGTTAATTTATTCACGAACTCACTACAGTTTTGCTCTCGTAAATAAATGTTGGGCGGTTTGGGTTTGGCTTTAGAAACTTCATTCGGCTCTTTGTCACCTTCGTTGTCCAGAATCGCAAACTTATTTCCCAGTAGAGGGTTAATGTCAGTGGTTTTCGTTTTTGCAATTTTTGATGGGTTTGCTATTTTTTTCTGCTGTCGGCTTAATTTTCGTTTGACTTGTATATACCTATCAATACCCGTTTGAGTCAATGTACGGGTTGTTGGATTAAGTAGGTCAACTTGCGCTGAGCTGCGTTGCTTGTGAAACCGCTGTCATTGCTGAAGCCGTGGTTGTAGTCGTTGTTGTGAGAGCTGAGCACACCGTTGTTACTGTGCTTGTTGCTAAGCTAGTGCTTTGTTGTTGCGTTAGACCAACTTGGTCTACCAGAGACATTGGCGACTGTGCATGCCAAGGTGTTTGAGGGGAGGGAGAGAACGATTTATCGCGATCAGGGCTCGAATCGTAACAGTCGTGAACGAGCAACTCGACACGTAAAAATGACAAAATCGGATTGTGACAGACGTGAACGAACTTCTCATATCGTAATTCGGTATTATGACAGGCGTGAACGAGCGAGTGAACGCACTCGTTCGTTCGAACTGTCATTCGATTAATATTTGACGAACGTATGCGCGCAAAATTTGATTTTTTTTTTTTTAATGTAAGTAATTATAAAATTTGTGCAAACATATACAAGTTTATAGCTATTTTTCTTATTTTAGGACCAACTACAATAAATTAAACTCTACGCAGAAGGAACTCATGGCGGAGTTCATGGCCGAACACCCTGACTTGGCAAAGAATTTACTCCCAAAATGCTCGCAGGGAAAAGCAACGGCCAGCCGTTTGTGGGAAAACCTCACCAAACAATTACATGTGGTGGACCTTTTCAGGAGTCATGGGCTGCACCTCTATATTGACAATTTTTGGCAAGAATCTTGCAAGTGTGGTCACAAATCTGGCAAACGGAATATTAGCAATAAAATGTTAAAATAAAAGAAAATAAACTTACTAGCATAACGTTAAGACTATGGTAACCTTTCCTGTTGAAGTACATGTGCTCGTCTCTAATTGGCTTTTGTAATCCAATGTGTGTTCCGTCTACGCATCCAACCACTAAAAGGAAAAACATTGGATTCACTACGCATTTCATTAGAACGCCTCTTCCTACCTCCAGGTATTTTATATTTTTCCGCAAACCACTCCTTACATCTTGAAGATTCGTTGGGCTGGAACTTTATAAATTCCGGACACAATTTCCTTTCCATTTCTTTTAAGACGTTGGACGTCAATTTTGATACCGTGCTCTGGCACATACCTATCAGGTAATCGCTACCAACTGTGTGCTAATAGTTACCACTTGCAAGGAGTGAGAGGCTTGCAGCCAATTGCAAAGCAGCAGGAACGGCTTTTGTGTCATCGCGGTTTATGTTTGTTTTCGATAAAACATACTGGAATGCCTCCTTGCTTAACCGAAATCTTTTGATGAATCTGAAAGTGTAGGAGCAGAGAAGGTAATTTATTTCCTTTGTATAATTACTTACGCGTTGTCGGATAATGCCAATGGATTGCATCTGCCCCGAAGTTGCTTACGCACAACTCTTTCGTCATTTTGGCTTTCGCTAGAGCTTAAATAAAATAAAAGGCTCGGCTCCATTTTAGTTTTGCCGCTTTTCTTTATTTACTTTTCACTTATTTTGACACTTCAATGTCTATTGTGACTTAAAAAAGGAAGAAGAAGAGAAAAATAATCGATAACCAAATAAACAA